ATGCTAGAAGTTTGTATGGATGGATCCATATAAAATGTATTATTTTGCTCCTAGCTTCTTTTGTTTAATGTGATATGTGCATGATTTATCCAGGTCCTTCATTTTTTTGATGAACAGAGTTCTGTTACATGATTTAATTACAATATATTTATCCATTCAACCATTGACAGATGCTTGGATTGTTTCTATTTTGGAGCTATCCAGTTTAGCTATAAATATTCTTGTTGATATATTTTAATCCAAATGTGTACCTTTTTCTGTTGGGGGTAAGTAAATGCATATGTTCAACTTTATGAAATAATACCAAACAATTTTCCAAAGACCTTAATACCAATTTTCATTTTTACCAGCTGAAAGCTCTGCATGTTCACCAACTCATGGTTTGATCAGTCTATACTTGAAAACAATCATTCCAAATTTTAGCAGCATGAAACAGAAATCATTTATTTCCCACAGTTCTATGGGTTGGCTGCCCTCAGGTGAGCAGTTCTTTCACTTCCTGTGTTGTAGGCAGGGGTGATTCATGTGGTGCATTCACTTAGGAGCTTGGTTGGAACTGAAATATCCAAGATGACTGCACTCATGCATCTAGCACTTGGGGATAGCTGAAACAGCTGGGGGTTAGTTTAGCCTCTCTCTCCCAGTGTGATCTCTTCATCATTCAGAATCCAAGCCAGGATTTATTCACCTTGCAACTGTACAAAAATAGAAGCTGCAAGTCTTCTTAAGGCTGTACCTGGAAGTTATACATGATCACTTTCATGACATGTTATTGGTTACAATAAATCATTACTAGGGCTGATTTAAGGGGAGGGAGAGGAACAGACTCCACCTCCTGATGGGATAACTGATATGGAAGTATGGGAATGGGTACAGTTTTTCCTGGCCCTACATAAGGAAAGATTACCTTTTGCCTTCACATGCCTTTAGTGTACAGAATACATTTACTCCACCCTGAGACATTCAAAGTCTCATCCAATTATAGAATTAGGCTTGAAGGTCCAGTCTCTTGTGATCTGCATCAGATCCAACTGTAAATAACTCTCCTTGTCCACAATTCCTCCTGATCTGGAGACCTGTGAACTTTAAAAAAAAAACAAGTTATCTCTCTCCAGAGACACGCAGATTACTATGGTGGCTTAGAGATTTTTATTTCAAACAATGTTGGTAGCTTTATTRTAAGCTGATCATACTTTCAGCAGAACTACCCTCTTGACAATTTTATGGGTTTTGTATGTGTCTAATTGTAATTATTTTCCTTCAACACAAGCTAAATCCAAAACTCCTTATGAGATAGGTTCTTCTCTGACTTGGGCTGTGAAACAGGGTATGTGGAACAAAAATGCTAAGATTCTTAGGAAATGTTTTTTACCCCTAAATGAGAGTTTATGAGGAATCAGCTGAAATTTTTTTTAATAAGGAGTCTTACAGTCACACCCTTCATTTGATCTTTGCCCCAAGGGGCTGGGGTTCCCCTTGGTGGAATGGGCTGACTGAGAAATAAAAGCTAGGAAAAATAGAATGGAAAAGAACCACAGGACACAGAAAATATTTTCAAAAGCAGGGGTGGGACAGACAAGCTGATACACGGATCGAGCTTTTATTCTATGGCAAAATGGAGCCTGCGCCTGATTTAAATATATCGGGGGACATTGGAGGCCTTTCATAGAATGTTCTTTTCCAAAAAATGTTAAAGGTGGGCTGTCCAGTTCCCAAYCGGTTTTGCCCATCTCTGGAGCCACCATCACAGAGATCTTCCTAGCAGAGCAAAGATAAAGGTCATATGCCTTGGGCAATCTATTGCATATGAGAGMCACCATAGTTCCCAAGGTTAAACCTAAAGTCTTCTTGGCTTCAAGCCAAGAGAAGATCCTCATGTGTTTTTCACAAACGGCTCCCCGCATAAGGCCATTTATTACTCTGAGATACTTTTGTCTGATGGAGACTGTGCTAGATAGTCTATTTCCACTAACATTTGCCCCACACTAAACAGATCTTTCAGGTTGGTTCATCTCTCTCCTACTGGACTTTACCATAGGGAGCTCAATAATTCCATCAGCACTTTGTTTAATCAGCTTGGAATCTCTCTAATCAGCCCTACATATTCATTGGTACCCTTTCTATCATCCACAATAATGCAGGCAATTGTGTTACTAAACTGCTACAAAATGCAAGACTTCTTGCGGCTTATCCTTTCCTAGCAATTTGACTGCTCTCCTCAACTCCACTAAGCAGTCTCCTCACCACCCTTTGAGTTCCAATGGCAGTGCCATGTGTTTCAATTATGGTAATAATTTACCCCTCATTTGTTGTTGTTGTTGTTTCTGATTAACAAAGTATCCCCAAATGTAGTATTGTAAAGCATTAGTGATCATTTCTGATGATTCTGAGGCCAGCAGGGCTGCTCTGGGCAGTTGCTCTACTCCATGTTTCACTGACTCATCTTTTCCACTACTCTGAGTGCCACCTTGGTCATAAATCAAGTGTCCATACATATATGGTCTGTTTCTGGACTCAATTATCTCTTCCATTGGTTTACTTGTCTGTTCTTGTGCCAGTATTTCATGTTTTTAGTTACACTAGCTTTATTTGTTTATTTATTTTTGCTTCATTTGCAAGGGTTGGGAGATTGAACTCACGGGTGCTTGGACACCCCTGTCCAAACTTGGATGCATCCCCTGTCCTTTTATTTTTATTTAATTAATTTATTTCTTTTTTGAGACAGGATCTTGCTAAATTGTCAGGGCCTCACTGAGTTACTGAGACTGACCTTGAACCTGTGCTCCTTCTGCCACTGCACCCAGTTTACACTAGCTTTATAATAAATAGGTCCTGATACTTTTGCAGAACAAGAGCCTCTGTGGAGCTGAAGCAACCATGGATGCCCTCTGTCACTGGTTCTTGAGACCATGTTAGAAGGAATTTGGGCAAGATGCACATAATGGCAGGCATGAGTTTATTCGAAGGGACAGGAAAAGGGAAAGGGGGAAGCTCTCAAAGGAGAGAGTAGGTCCTATCAGAGAGGAGAGTGATGGCTCACCTTTCCTACCCTCCTATTTTTTGGGGGGTTCCAAAGAGTCTGCCCAGGTCCTCCTCTTGACTTTTGACTGATAGTGATTGCATCAGATTGCATCAGACTTTCAAGTCCCCAGTGCATATGGTCTTACGTCATGAAGGGGAGATTTTACTATAAAATCTCAAGATCCAAGGCAACTCTGGGTCACCTTGATGACTAGTTCCAACTGGATTTTTTTTTTTACAGGTTTAATGGTTAGGGGGTTTTACTTTTAATTATCTTGTCTCCTTCAGTCCTGGAATCTGGTCTGTATAAAGAAAGTCTCCCACTTCAGGATAACTTGTGTTCTTATCAGCAGGAAGGAGCCTTGGGGTCCCGCATTTCTCCTGCAGACAACAGGTCGGTTGCTGAGGAATGTAGCCTGTCCTATTGGCTGAAGTCAGGAAGGGCTGCAGGTAAATTGTTTTTCAAAAGAAAACATGTGGGGGTTGGTCAGTAYAGTGGGCCCAGTTTACAGAGTTACCCCTTTCCCTTTGTGTGCACACAGAAGAAAGGTTGTGTGGGGACATAGTGATAAAGTGGCTATCCATGAGCTAAGAAGCCAACATTGATGGCACTTTGTTTTTTGGAAATCTAGCCTCCCAAACTGGGAGAAAATAAATTTCTGTTTTTTAAACCACTTGGTCTGTGGAATTTTTTTTTCTTTTTTTTTTTGGGCAGACCCAGCAAACTAATATAGTACTCATTAAGCTGCACCTAGATTCTTGACCCTCAGGACTTTGAGGTTATAAATGCTTGTCATTTTTTTTTTTTTTTTTAAAGAGAGAGTGAGAGAGGAGAGAGAGAGAGAGAGAGAGAGAGAGAGAGAATTTTTATTTATTTTTTATTTTTTATTTTTTTTAGAGAGAGTGAGAGAGGAGAGAGAGAGAGAGAAAGAATTTTTAATATTTATTTTTTAGTTCTCGGCGGACACAACATCTTTGTTGGTATGTGGTGCTGAGGATCGAACCCGGGTCGCACGCATACCAGGCGAGCGCGCTACCGCTTGAGCCACATCCCCAGCCCAATGCTTGTCATTTTGAGCTGTTAAACTTTGGAGTAATTTGTTATGCAGCAATAGATGACTAATACATGAACCTAATTTCCCCCTTTATATCCTCTCTGACTTATGTCCCTAAAAGATGGGTAGGTAGGGTGTCCTGTTTGAATACTTCAAATTCTTACTTTCCAAGGAAAGAAAAAGTCAGTCTTCCTAGCAGATAACAAACCATGCTATGGGTTGAGGATATAGCTTAGTGTCAGAGCACTTGCTTAGCATTAGGCCTCAGGTTCTATCCCCAGCCCCTCAAAAACAAAATTATACCAATGTCTGAGTTATTAATAGCATTTTCTGAAACATATTCACTACTCTTTCATTTTCCCAGCAAAGTAAAAAAAGAACTTTTGTTTAGGTTCAGATTTGTTTGCAAGTAGGTAAGGCCAGAATAATTGCAGTGATTAAGAATCCATGGACTCAGTGTATATTTATGTGGTTCATCCTCTGTGTGTGTATACATATACATATGCTTCCATGAACTATAATTTTATAAACAGTTTATACATACAAAGGGATTATTCTAATTCTAAAATATATGTTCTAATTCTAAAACTCCTACTGGGACAGCATTAATGTATTAAGTGTGTACAGTACAATTATACATTATAATTTTTCTTTCTTTCTTTTCTATTTTGTTTTCCAGTATTAGGATTGAATCCAGGGGCACTTTGACATTGAGATATATCTTTGGCCCATTTTATTTTTTATTTCAAGACAGGGTCTGGCTAAATTGCCCAGGCTGGCCTGGGACTTGCAATCCTCCTCCCTCAGCCTCCTGTGTAGTTGAGATTACAGGGGTGTACCACTGTGCCTGCTGTATTGGATTTTTATAAGTTGGCTTAAATTATACATTTATTGAAATGTACCTGTAGTTCCTAGTTTGCTGTGATGTCAGTTGGGGATTCTTCCTGGAAAACCCTGGAAATGGAGAGCTTGAACACGAGGTTCAGCGCCTGGACACCTTTTAGCAACAAGTCGCTAAATAGACAGGTGAGTTACGTGGTGAATTACAAATAGTGAGTCTTACGTTGTCATACTTTTAAAGAAAATCCTCTAAAGAATTTAGTTTTTGAGTCAGTTTAAACAAAAACAATTCTAGCTTTGTTGCAAGTCTCCCAATCTGCCTCCCATCTTATTCTGTGCTTCCAGAGACAAAATAGAGACCCCCAGGACACCTGTGGTTTGCGGTGATGGGGAAGGAGAAGGAAAGAAGATGCTCTGGGTGGTGGTGGTGAGGGTGTGTGCGTGTATGTTTCACTGTGTCCTTAATACTCCTTCTCTCTGGTGCCCACCATATGGTTCTATGTGGCCTGGCGATGCCCGTCCCTTGAACAGTAATTCAGGAAGAAGTCATCGAATGGTGGAGGGCAGTCTGCAAGGCATTAATGGAGCTAGCACAGGGGTCCTCAGAGCTCACGTGGGCTCAACTTCTTTTACAAGGGAAGAAGAATAGACTGGCTGGGGTTAAAGCCTGACCTGTAATAAAGACAGTGAGTTTGCACATGCCTATCTAGCAAAGCTGGCCTGGAACCCAGTTTTGGGGACACTGGTCTTTGGGAACTCTGTCTTAGAGACACAACTAACAATAGCATTTTACAATAATTATTCACGATCAGTTTCATGAGTGTTATGAAGATCCATGGCTATGGATCAATAAAGTCATATCTACTTAAATGAATCTATTTTAGCAATGGAATGAGTGAGACCTATATGTGTTTTCTTTTTTTTTTTAATAATTAGAAAGTTATTTTTATTGATTCTTTTTAGTTATACATGACAGTAGAATTGTTTTGATAAAATTACACATGCATATTTATATCTTATTCTAATTAGGACCCCATTCTTCTGGATATACACAATGATGAATTTGCTTAGTTTTTTTCATTTATATATATGTGTGTGTGTGTGTGTGTGTATATATATATATATATATATATATGAAAATAATGTCAGATTCATTTCACTGTCTCCTATTCCTATCCCCCTTCCTTCCCTGCATTCCTCTTTGTCTAATGTACTGAACTTCTCTTCTTCTCCCGCTCCCTTTTTTATGTGATTTGGCTTCTACATATCAACAAAAATATTCAAACTTTGATTTTGGGGGATTGGCTTATTTCAGTTAGCATCATAGCCTCCAGATTCATCTATTTACTAATAAATGTCATAAAGTTATCCTTTATGGCTGAGTAATACTTCATTGTGCTTATGTACCACATTTTCTTTATCCATTCATCTGTTGAAGGGTACCAAGTTTGGCTCCATAGCTTAGTTATTATGAATTRTGATGCTATAAACATTGATGTGGCTGTGTTATTGTGGTATGCTGATTTTAAATCCTTTGGATATATGCTGAGGAGTGGGATAAATGGGTCAAATGATGGTTTAATTCCTAATTTTAAAGGAATTTTTAAACTGCTTTCCAGAGTAGTTGCATCAATTTGCTGTCCTACCAACAATGTATGAGTGTACCCTTTTTTTCCATATCCTCTCCAACATTTATTGTTGCTTATATTTTTTGATAGTTGCCATTCTGATTGGAGTGAGATGAAATCTCAGTGTAGTTTTGATTTGCATTTCTCTAATCGCTAGAGATACTGCACATTTTTTTTTTTTTCATATGTGTGTTTTCAAGACAAAAACGTGTGGAATCTGTTTCCCTGGGTCATGGTAGTCTAGGTAAAAACAAGAGCCAGTTCACACTACCTCTTTGTTTTCCCTCCTTCTCTGTAATTACATCCCTAGCAGCCTACCCAACAAGCCCAGGCTCCTCTTATCCCTGGATAAGAGGGAGTTTWAGCTGAAAGGAGAGATCCCTACACATTCATGAAAGCACCCTGCGAATTGTAAAGTGCTGTGCAAATATTAGCTGGGAGGTTGTTAGTAGATCATCTGAAGATTGCTTAGCAACTAAGATGGTATATAAAGGTACAGTAAAATATCATTTTTCCCCCTACAGCTCTTTCAGGAAAGAGTTGCTTTGATAAGTCATTGGTTTGACCTCTGGACCCACAAACAACGTCAAGAATTCTTATTCACAATTCTTTTACGATGCACTAAATCACAATTAAGGTAAACTGGTTGCTTAATGATGTAATTACCATTGGTCCTTAAAGAAAACAAAACATTGTAAAATGTRTATATAACCTTTACGAGTCTTTTTTTCCCTATTAAAAAATCACACAATTAATACTTGAAGGTTTATCTACAGACTCTTCAAATGCTTGTTTCCTCCTTGAGGCTGCAATGAAGCCATGGAGGGGTATGAACACCATCACACCGTTATGAAGCTGTTTTGTTTTTGCAAAATTTGTTAGTGGCTTCAGCCCGTGAATTTTTAATATGCTCTTGGATTATTAAATWTTCCTTGGAAGTGTCATACATTTACAAAGGGTCTAGCTGGTACACAGCTAGACCCTTTGTAAATTATTATTAAATGATGGATTTGAAAAATACATGAGCACGGACAATGGCAGTGACGTAAAGGGATATGGCCGAGGTAGACAGCAATGGACAGTGGTGGCCAATGGGTCCTGCCCCTACTCTTCCCCTTCCCTGGTGTTCTATCTGTAGTTTACTTTCAAATACCGCAGCATAGACAGCATTACATTTGTTAGTTGAAATGATACCCAGGGGCAGCTAGTGTTCTGATTGGRAATTAATACTCTAGGGGTCATTAGTTCTTTCTAGGTTGGAAGGGTCCCAGTGCTTTAGWTATTATTAGTGCAAATATCAAACCTCTGTTGTATGAGCAACCAGTGCCTCGTTAACTGTGTTAGACATAGACTCTCGTGAAATTGGGGATATTCAAGGGGTGTGGACTGACTGAAATATAGGAGAGAGGAGGATATTTATATACTTCAGTGCACCTGGACCTGAGCGAAGACTACAGCTGGGCCAGTGGAAAGTCGTGTGTGTGGTTTCCCAGGCTTCATCCCCAAATAAATGACCTTGGGTCCGTCTTGGGTTACTAGAGTAACAATAGGATGCTGTTGGTAGAACATTGTTCTTTCTCAATTGGATGAAACTCTCACCCAGCAGATAGAAGCTTCATCAAGCCTGCACAGGGGACTCTACAAGTGGTTTATATTTATTTACTAAGGTCTGTTTAGGGAAACCCTAGGAATGGCATCATTTGGTGTTAGTTGCTTTCCACATAACCTAGTGGTGAGGCTAACCTTCTGCTTCTTAGGCAGCTACCAAAAAGTATCTGAGAGTTGTTCGTGACCAAACTGGCTTATTTCAGTTTGCAACCTGCCTCCCCCTGTTTTTTCCACTTTCCCTGCCTATCTCACTTGATCAGYCATTTCTCTTCTCTTCTCCTTTGTCAGCTTCTCCTGCATCTGCAGGTGCAAAACAGGTTGTGAACTGACTCACCCTGACCAGTCACTGGAAGGAGACAAACACCTTCCTGGCTCTGCTGAACCAGGCTCTAGACAGGCTACAGCGAAATGGGCTCTTTAGTTCATGCATAGAAATCAGGAGAAGGGATATTTATAACAGTCATTTGCTATGTTTACTTTTACTCCAACTTTACTGCTTTCAAGATAAGAAAATAATAGGTGGAACCCCATATTGGTAATTGCTGCRTGCCTTAGGTTCTTGTCTCACATATCATAAACCAAGCAATCTCAGTTGTAACCACTGGGGGTCATTAGAGCTCTTGTGGTATATTTTGAGACTGCTGAACTTCAGGCCTGACATTTTGTCTCTGGAAATTGCATCTTTTTKCTAGTACCCCAATTCTTAACTTTCTGTGGGAAAAGAATGTGGAACTAACCTGTTCAGTGAAATTACTTTTCTTTGTCTGGTGGCAGCTGTGTTTCCACAGAGAGCAGTATGTGCTAAATAGCTCTATGCAGCTGATTTCAGGGAAACTTATTCATATGTGTCTGGTGTCTAGATTTGGCATTCAGAACCCACCTTTAATTTGTGTTAATGGTTTTTGTTGTTTAGCATCAATCAGTTCCTTCCGCAAAGCCTGGTCAAGTCTTTTTTACACTTCTTCTTTCCCATTGATTTCTGTCACACTGCATGTTGGTGGTCTAACCTAGTGACAGCTGTGCTCAATTTCAGTTAAAAATAGAAGCCAAACACACACACACACACACACACACACACACACACACACTTTTTAAAATAAATTTTTAGTTGTAGTTGGACACAATACCTTTATTTTATTTACTTATTTTTATGTGGTGCTGAGGATCAAACCCAATGCCTTGCATGTGCTAGGCAAGCGCTCTGCTCCTGAGCCACAACCCCAGCTCCCCCCACATACATATTTTTAATTTAATGCAGTGAACTTTCCTTTAAGCRTCTTTACTGAGATATAATTCACATATAATAAAGTTTTCCAATTAAAGATGCAATTCGGTGGTTTTAATACATCCACAGAATTGTGCAGCCACCAGTACAATCTAGGTTTAAAACATTTCATCACCCCAAAATGATTCCCCTACCTGTTGACTGTCACTCCCCATCTTGAGCCCCACCCTCACCCTGCCCAGATACAGGCAAATACTAATGGTCTTATGTCTCTATAAATTTGCCCCYTGTGGACTTTTTGCATAAATGGAATCATGAAGTATGTGATCTTTGTGACTGATGTCTCTCATATGTTTTCAAGGTTTATCCATTTTGTAGTATGTAGTATATATCACTGATACTTTCCTTTTTTTTGTGTGTGTGGTACTGGGAATTGAACCCAGGGGTGCTCTACTACTGAGGTATACCTCCAGTGTCCCCCCTCTCTTTAATTTTTATTTTGAGGCAGGGTCTTGCTGAATATCTGAGGCTGGCCTCGAACTTGCAATCCTCCTTACAGGTGTGTGTCACTGTTGCTGGCAATACTTACCTTTTATTGACAATAACATCCCAATGTATAAAAGTGTCATATTTATTTATCCATTTATCAATTGACAGACATGTGGGCTGTTTCTCATTTTGGTTGCTGTAAGTAATGATTTTATGAATATCCATCTCCAAGCTTTTGTATATGGATGTTGTTATTTCTATTAGGTATATATCTAGGAGTAAAATTACTAGGTGCAATATTAACAGTTTGTTTTGCGTCCTATTTATTCTTGTACTCTATTTTCTCTCATACCTGTGAAAATACTTATTAATAAATGAAAGAAATAAGCATTATTTGAATGCCTGAAATATTTATATATAAGCTTGACTATGCTTTTTTTTAAGTCAGAGAGCCCTTAGTTTTAAATATTTTGTTTTATGATTTTCAAATAATTTTATTATAATTCAGATAGTTACATTTATTAATGTAGTATTTCAACTATTGGTAGGAAATGTTTCATCAGAATTTTCTTTAAAAGTTTCTCCTTCCAGAGACTTGGGAGGCTCAGGCAGAAGGACCACAACTTCAAAGTAAGCTTCAGCAACTTAGCAAGGCCCTAAGCAACTTAGAAAGATACTGTCTCCAAGTAAAAAATTAAAAAAATTTTTTAAAGGGGGATGTGGCCCAGTGGTTAAGTGCTCTGAGTTTAATCCCTGATACCAAAAAATTAAAAATTAAAAAATTTCTCCTTACTCTCTATGGAATATATTTAAATATCTAAGACTTTTTTCCTGTCTTAATACATATTCCAATAGTCCATACTGTTAAGTTTTAGCATGAACTTATTTTTTCTTTCCTTTTTGCAGTACTGGGGATTGAACTCCGGGATGCTCCATCATTGAGCAGCATCCCCAGCCCCATCTTCTTTTTTCTTTTTCTTGTTTTGGAACAGTCTCACCAAGTTGCCAAGGCTAGCCTCAAACTTGTGAACCTCCTGCCTCAGCCTCTTCAGTCACCGGGACTACAAGTGTGTGCCGTGGCTTGGTAGAGGACCTTAAATGGAATTTTATGATTTTAAGGACATTTTTCAAAGGTTCAGTTTATCAAACCATCCTTCTGGCAAATTCTCCTTCTCACCTCTGTTTAAATGTCAGCCCTCCTGGGAAGCCTTCTTTGCTAGTCTTTTGGGCTCGGAGGGTTTTCCACCTACATCATGGGATTCTCCCCGGTACATTATGCTTATGTGTCAACACATACAATGGTTCCCATCGGTGTCTTCCCTCCGCCACTTGTCTAAACTGACCTTTCCTGTGACTCCTTAAAGGACACTGGCTGTTTGTGTCTGTCACACTTGGAGAAACCTAGGATGAGTTGAATCCGGCTCCTTGCTGCTCTGGTGGAACCGGTTTTAAATTGCTTCTGCTCAGCAACTCAATGCCTTACACAAAGGCCTGGCATTCCAGGGCTGGAGCTGCTTCAACTTGTAGTTTTCCTGGGCAGGTGGGGCACCATTCATGCAGCTGCAGTCTCAAAACAGCAGATAGCTTGTCGGTGGGGGGAAGGGGGTGGGGGTGGGGAAGAGAGAGAGAGAGAGAGAGAGAGTGAGTTGGCAAAGGCACAGAAGGTTACATGGATGGTTGACAAGGCACTAGCATTCATCATTTGTCCCCTTCAGGGCAGACTGGAAGTGGGGATGGAGAGCAGAAAAATGTACCCACCAAAGTACATTTAAGAAAGAACACCCCCAGCCCACTTCAGCACCCTTACCCACTCTTTCCAAGCAGCCCTGGAGGGGGTCGGTTGAGGAGATGGCTCAGTTGTKATCTGTAGAGGAAATCTGATGTGTAGTTTTTCATACTTCTAGCTTAWTTTGGAATACAGAACAGCCACGTAACTGAGTTATGGGAAGTCCATTTGAAATGAGAACACTTCTGTGTGAAGGTGGTGAAGATATTAGAGGAAAAAAAAAATCATCCCTTGGAACTTGTTCAAGCATGGTGAGGCAGACTCTTTAGGACCGTTGCTGTGGGCATAGGGACCACTGCCATGGGATTTGCAGCCAGGCAGAGATTGGGCTCAACTCCAAATACAGCACAGGCAAGTTGAAATTTATAGGCAAAGGAGCTGAGTGGGAAAATTACTAAGAGGAAACATTAGAGGCGAGGGGGGTTCCTGTCTAGATGGACCCAGYGGAACTCTTGCCAGAGACAGGCCTGGGTGATCAGACCTTTCCTGAGGCTGGAAGGGTCTGAATGAGGAACCTGATCAGATATCC